TTCGACGCCTACTGCTTCCGAGGTGCGCGGGGGCCACGCCCGGGGGAGTGTGTCCCTGGAGTCCAGCCCCCGAGGGTGCGTCACTGATGGCCTTGCCCAAGAGCTCGCACCCCAGTCAAGGCCACGCCCCGGGAGCTTTGCTTGCTGGTGGAGGCGGAATCGGGGCAGGGAGGGACCCGAAGAAACTGCACCGCGATCAGCCACACCCCGGGTGAAGGCCATGCCCCTGAGACGGGCTTTCCCCTGGCGCCCACGCTGGGCGTTAGAACGGGCCCCAGCTCTGGCTGGGAGCTCTAGAGTCTAGGAGGTGGGCGATAGTCCTGAGGTCCCGGAAAGACGCGTCCCCGTATGGAGCGTTTCTTACCTGGAACCACGCCCAGAAGCGCCCTTTGAGAAGAGATACCTCGGCTAGCCACGCCCCGTGGGCCAGGCCACATTCCCAGGGACCAGACCAGGGATGACCCTTGCACTTGGGGTGGAGCCACAGCCTCAAGCTGCAAACCTCAACTCAAAAGAGTTAAGTCTCAAAAAAAAAAAAAAAAAAGAAGAAGAAGAAGAAGAAGAAGAAGAAGAAGAAGAAGAGTTAAGTCTTCCACCTAAGGGAATGGCGTCCCTTTGTAAAAAGGCCACGCCCATTAGGCGCTTTCTGCACCTGAGCTTCACCCATGAGCTAAGCTGTCTCTTGACCCTTTACTGGGACCAGTTGACTCTGACCTTGACAGTGGGTGCAAGCCTGAACAGTGGGGATAACAACTTTGCACCACCCTCTCTCCTTCTGGGGTATTCCAGAAACCACCCAGAGAGACAGAGGGTCACAGAGAGACAGGTCTATATGGCAGTGTGCTAGAATGTGGGTAGACTTCAAGAAGAACTTCCCAGCCCCTGAGCCTAATACAGCCTCTTCTACTTTCTCCCACAGCTCATTACCCTACTCCACAACATGGAGACCCAGAGACCCCCTCATCTGGGGATGAGGGGGAGATTCTATCGGCAGAAGGGCCTCCAGCCAGAGAACTGGAGCCCAACTTGGGGGAAGGGGAAGTGGTCACCCCTGACTTCCAGGAGCCTCTGCTGTCGAGTGGGGAGGAAGAGCCTGTGATCTTGGCAGAGAAGCAGGAGTCTCAAGAGACCCCCAGCCCTGCCCCTGGGGTTCCCACACTAGCCTCAAGGCCTTCCCTGGAGGCTGAGGAGGTGTGGCTGAGCACCGTGGCCCCGTTCTCCAGCAGCCTGGAGGAAGGCACCTCAGCTGGCATGCACAGCAAGGCGACTCCAGCCAACCTCAAGCCCAAGAGGCGGAATCGCTTTAAAGGGTTGAACGGGCGCCACTTTCAACAACAGGAATCCCAGCAAGGGCTGGAGGGAAGGCTTGAGGTCAGTGCCCAGCCTCCCACCCCAGAGGCTGCTGGGAATCATGTGGAGCCTCCCCTGGCCACCGGAGCCACAGACTCCTTAGGGAGTGACAGGAGCCAAAGTCCCTGGGCGGTGCTGTCCAATGAAGTGGATGTGCCTGGAGCTGGTGAGTGGGGTCCCAGGAGGAGGTGGGACATGAGTGGGTGTCAGGGGATGGGGAGGAGACTCTGAACCCCTGCTGGGTCCCCGGGCCTTAGAAGCCCCCTCCTCCCCAGGCTAAACCAAGGAAACTCTCAACGGAAGGAGCGCTGAGAGATAATTATTATTGTTGATATTGTTGCAGGTTCCCCTGGTGGCAGGAGCCCCCCAGAGCCCTGGCTGTGGCCCCCAACAGTGGTGCCACCCAGCATCCCAGGCCCCAGCAGGGCCTTTGGCCTCGAGTTGGAGGAAGCTAAGGGCCCCAGTGTGAGGCTTGATACCCTCAAACTTCCCTGGTCCCCCTCAGAGGCCACTGCTCTGGCTCCCAGCCCCTCAGAAGATCCCAGTAGTGTCCCCTGGGAGGCGTCCCCCATGGTCACTTCCCTAGACCTCCCTGTCATGGCCATGCTTCGTGCTCCCAAAGTGTGGCTCCTACCACATCCTACACCCCTCCCTACCCAGACCAATGAGGTTAAGGGTCATAGTGAGGCCATGCCCTCTGCCCTACCTTCCCTGGCCTCAGAGACCCAGGCTGGTCCCCAGGACCCCATCCATCCAGAGATGTATTCCTTGCCCCCCTCCTTGGGCCTGACAGGACAAGGTCGAGAGGCCGCGTTCCTGACATTCAGTGACCACAGAGCAGGAAGTCCCACAGCCCTCTCACAAGTAGCCACAGACACACAAACCAGAGCCAGTCCTAATGCCCCCAGGGCAGACTTTGGAGAAATTGGGGGGACCAGCCCCACTGGACTCAATGAAGCTGAGCACCCCAGATCCAGCCCACAGGCTTCTGTGGATTGGAATGTGACAGCAGATTTCACCCTCACAGAGATGGCAACTGAGCCCACAGGAGGGAGAGGAATCTCAGGGTCTGAGTATGGGGTCCTCTACACAGCAGAGAGTCCCACTTCCAGCTCACAGGCCCCTGTGCGAGAGGCACAGGGCACGAGCCCCTCACTGCACATCAAAGAGCTGGACCCCCACACCCCTGCTGCACCGTCGGGGGACCCCAGAGTTTCCCTGAGTTTGGAGCCTTGGGCTGCTACAGATGAAGGAGGTACAGAGGGTCCCACAGATACAGCCACAGTGGACCCCAGTGATGCTGGTAGGATTTGGGAATCTGGATCCCTCGTGGTTGAAGGAGCTGAACGCCCCACCATGAGCCCTCAAGTGGCTGTGGATACGAAGGTGGTGACGTCCCTCGTGTCCCTGGACCAGGGGGACAAGGGTGGGGTCCTGGCCACGTCCACCATGGACTCCTCCAGCTCCCAACCCCACCCAGAGCCAGAGGGCCAGGTGGTGACCCAGGGAACACTGGAAGCCTTGGTCCCTCCGCATGAGGGCATCCCCCTGGGGGATCCCACTCTTCCTCCTTGGACACCTACAGTGGCCAGCATGGACGAGCCTGTGCCAGTGTCCGCAGGGGAGCCAACAGTGCTATGGGACTCCCCCAGCACTCTGCTGCCTGCCCCTCGGGTCCTGGACAAGTTTGCGCTGGAGGTCCTTGCAGGAAGTGCCAGTGTGGAGGAGGCATCGAGTGGAGAGGAGCCGGCCCTGCCAGGGACCCCTGCAGATGGGAGCGCAGAGCAAAGTGAGTTCAAATTTTGTGGCCTCATTCAGCCCGCTGTGGTCAGGGCTTGGGGACCAGGGGCCAGGGGAGCTCAGGGTAGGGAAAAGGGGTTGTTCCCGGGGGCCTGGGAAGGTTTCTAGCAGGAATAACATTGTAGGTGGGAATTTATCAGGTGAGTTGAATTACAGAAAGGATGTTTCTGGCAGAGGCACCAGCCTGGGCAAAGGTTGGAGAACAAGTTGATGTGTTTTAAGGCACAGTGAGTGATGGGGGAATGATGAGGTAGAGTTGGATTTTGGTTCAATTAACAACTCCTGTTCATGGCCACACAGAGCTAGACAGTGCTATACAATGCTCGGGGCCGGCCTTCAGTGATGCCCCAGTCTGGGAAAGACAGAGCTAGACACAGACCCCCCCCCCCCCAGGTGGGGCCGGATGGAGGACGCATAGTGGGATTCAGTGGTGCATTTGCTGGGGGACCTTGAGCCACAGGAAAAGTGGGCACTGGGAAGGGGTTGGAGTATTGTACAGCCTAGTGGTATAGACAGCAAACTGACACTCAGGGAGGAATGTCACTACCAGCTAGTCAGTGGCCAGACTTCAGAGGGAGCCCAAGTCTTTGCATACGCCTCAGCTGCTCTTTGCTCAGCAGAATCCAGAAAAAGCTACCACCCTGTTCTCCTGGAGCCAGGTCTGCCCGAAGCTCTCCTGCAAATTCTGGCCCTTTTTTAAAAAGGAATATATATATTTATTGAGGAAGGGAGAGGGAGAGAGAGATAGAAACATCAATGGTGAGAGAGAATTATTGATCAGCTGCCTCCTGCATGTCCCCCACTTGGGATAGGGCTCACAACTTGGGCATATGACCTGACCGGGAATTGAACCGTGGCCTCCTGGTTTAGGTCCACACTCAACCATTGTGTCACGCTGGCCGGGCCAGGCCTTTTTTTAGGTCCTGCATATTGAGCGTTTTTGTTTTTTGTTTTGTTTTGTTTTTTGTCAGATGAGCTTTTAAAAACACCAGCATCTAATGAAAAGGCACTTTTTTTTTGAGTTGCAAAAACACTTATTAACACAATTGGTTTTACACTTGCTTTCTTTTTTGAAGGCAAAGTGTGCATGATGGGAATAGCAGGTACAGGGTTTTGTCACCAACCCTGTCACCTCTGGGCTAGATTTTCTTTTCTTAGATGCACAGGAGGCAGGCAGACACGGATACATGAATTGATAAAGGCTGATGCTTATTGGTGACTGCCCATGTACTTGGCTTGTTTGAGCACTTTACTGGAATCATCTTGATTGATCCTTTTAATGTCCTTGTGGAACAAGTTCTAGTATGACCTTTACTTTAGCATGGGGAGACTGAGGCACAGGGAGGTCTAGGGACTTGTGCAGAATCATGCAGCTGGGACTGTTAAGGATAAGGTTTGAATCAGGCCAACTAACAACATGGTCTCTCTCAACCACTAGGCTGTACAACATGTATTTCATGGGCGTAAAACACACACACACACACACACACACACACACACACACACACACAAAACCCTGAGGTTTTGGGAGGGGTGAACTTGCTCTGGAGGGAGCAGGGAAGAGACTAGCTGTAGGGGATGGGCAGCAGGAAGGAGGTTCAATGTCAAAGGAGCTAGAAAAGGGGAGTCCGAGAGGTGGGAGGTAGACCATGCAGAGTGGTGCAAAGGGAAGCCTGTTTGGGCCTGCCTTGCAGCCAGTGGCAGTAGGGTTAGAGAGAGGCAGGCAGAGCTGGGGTGAGGGGGAGGGGATCTGGGTGCCTAGCCACCCTATGCTTGCTGCAGAAATGCTAATGAAGCCAAAAATAAATGCAGCACCAGTGAGCGACTGAGTCACCGCCAGTCCGTGGGCAGCTGTCGGCAGCTTGGGTCACCTGGCAGGGCTCACATATTCCCATGCCTAGCAGTCTTGCGCATGTGCACACACAGGACAGACACAGCCACCGGCCACTCTGGCAATCCCTGGGGGCACATGCCACCACCCCAGGGATCGGCCTCTGTCCCTATAGGAAGGCCAGCAGCTACCTTCATTCAGTTAGCAAGCAATTATTTAGTGCTGGCTATGTGTCAGGCCCCAGGTTGAGACCAAGTCACTTGTCCTCTGGAAGCTGGCCTTCTAGAGCAGCACTCTAGAACTTGCCCAATGATGGACATTTCTGGAGCTATGCTGTCTAATACACTAGCAAACAGCCCCACGTGGCTACTAAGCCCTTGAAAGCGGCTAGTGAGACTGAGGAACTACATTTGTACTTTCATTTGCTTTTAATTAATTTAGACTTAAAAAGCTATATTTGGCTGCTATGTGGAACATCATTGCTCTGGGGGAGGCACAAACACATAATAGTGATCCTAATAACTAAATGATATTGGAGGTTAGAAAGTGATTGGGCAGTCCGCTGGTTTGGCTCAGTGGATAGAGTGTCAGCCTGTGGACTGAAGGGTTCCGGGTTCAATTCTGGTCAGGGGCACATGCCCGGGTTGTGGGCTCGATCCCCAGTGGGAGGCATGCAGAAGGCAGCTGATTAATGATTCTCTCTCATAATTGATGTTTCTATCTCTCTCTCCCTCTCCCTTCCTCTCTGAAATCAATTTATACACACACACACACACACACACACACACACACACACACATATATATATATATATAGTGATTGGGCAAAGAGACAAGTGAAACAAGGGTTGGGAGATGCCAGTGAGCGGTTTCTGGTTCTGGAAGGGGAATCAGAAAGGCCTCTCCTAGCAGATGACATTCGAGCAAGCCTGAAGGAGGTGAGGGAGGAGCCATGCAGAAATCTGGGGAAAGAGTGTTCCAGGCAAAGGGAACAGTCTATGTAAAGGCCCTGAGACAGAACTGTGCCTGGCATGTAAAAACAGCAAGGTCAGTGTGGCTGGAGCAGAGTGAGCAAGGGAGCGAGCAAGAGGTAGGGCAGGGGGATGTTAGGCAGATCTCCCAGGGCCCTGTGGGTAGCAGTGAGGGCTTCGCCTGTCTCCTGAGGGCAATGGGGAGCCATGGTAGGATCTAGGCAGAGGAGGGACATGACTTGACTCAGGTTTACATAGGCTCCCTTGGCAGCTATGGGGAGAATAACCTGTTGAGGGTGAGAGTGGAGGCCAGGAGACCTAGGAATTGGTGACAGCTTATTGCCACCTCAGTTTCTTGTGAGGCTCTAGACAAGTCCAAAATAGAAACAAATTCTAGGTTATAGGGGCTGGAAAGAGGGCCTTAAACTGGGCTACCGGAGCCCAGGAAGTCAGATTTGGCTCTTGTATTGTCTCACTATGTAGCACTGAACCAAGCCCTTCCCTTCTCTGGACCTCAGTTCTAGTGTCTGTGCAATGGAAGTGGTGGGTGCCCTGACAAGGGAAGGGGGTTGGCTGGGAGTTCCAGTCGTTAGAGTGGAGAACACCCACCAAGGCATCTGGGTCCCTGAGATGGGGAGGGGAGATCCCCCTTCGTCCAGGGAAACCCAGCTGATGGGGGAAATGGGAGAGGGGGACAGGGACCCACATTCCTAAACGCACCCTGGGTGCCTGGTGAATGCTGAGACCCCTCAAGAGGCCCCACACTAATATACACAGAGCCAGATATGGCTTCATGGTGAGGACTGTGAGAGAGGTGAACTATTTTTATTTCCATTTTGTAGATGAGGCAACTGAAATTCAGAGAAGCAATTTGCCTAGGGTCCCCGAGTGAGGGGCAGAGCCAGGGATTGAACTAAACTCTCCGACTCCAAAGTCCATGGTTATGACCACTATAATCCATAAACTCTCCACAGTGTCACTACTGAAACCACATCAAAAGAGGTTGAGCCCAAATGAAGGAGATGTTGGTTCCCTAGTCCTGTTCATACCCCACCATCTAGAACCTTATGTCCACTTCTGTGCTCCAAATTGTGAGAAATACAATGGCCAGCAGGGTATGTCCAGAAGACAAGGACAAGTCAGGGAGGGCACTTAAATCCATGTTCTAGAAGAGATTTCAGAGAGGAAGGGAGAGGGAGAGAGAGATAGAAGCATCAATGATGAGAGGGAGTCATTGATTGGCTGCTACCTGTATGGCATCTACTGGGGATTGTGGCTACAACCTAGGCATGTGCCCTTGACCGGAATCGAACCTGGGACACTTCAGTCCGCAGGCCAACACTCTATCCACTGAGCCTAACTGGCTAGGGCTAGAACATGACTTTTTAAGAGAAGCTTTGGGAAGCCCATTCCAGTTCAGTCAGAGAAAGAACTTTTCGCCGGCAGGGCAGCCCACAGATGCTTTGGGAGCAATTCTGGAATGAGTAAACTTGTCACAGGGGCACGTGAGAGGAAGGTGGTGATGACCTACCGGGAAGGCATAGAGGGGACTCCACAGAGAGGGACCGAGCCAGAGGCCCTCGGGTGCCTGAGGTCAGGATTCTAGGAGGGCAGATCTGCTCTTCTGACTGCCCCCTGAACTGCCTGTCTGTCCTGCAGCCCCCTCGGATCCCTGCGAGAACAACCCTTGCCTGCACGGGGGCACCTGTAGAGCCAATGGCACCATCTATGGCTGCAGCTGTGCCCAGGGCTTTGCTGGGGAGAACTGTGAGATCGGTGAGTGCCCCAACTCAGGATCAGAACCTGGACTTGTCTGACTCCAGAGCCCTGGGTTTGTTTATTACCACAGCAATCAACCCCATGAGAACGCAGGGTTCACAAATGCTGGCTTCAGATGCTTCCTTTCCTCCCAACTCCTTGGGTCCAGTAAATCCGCCCCAGCACCAGCCAACTGAGCTCTCATCCTGGGGGCTGAGGCTCTGGCGTGCTGCCTCCCATTACTACCAAGCAGGGGTAAAGGAGGGCAAAGGGATGGTAAGGTTCAGGCTCCTTCCTTCCAAGGCCTCCAGGAATCCTACCCTTTCCTGGTGGGCAGGGGTGTAGGTACCACCAGCAGAACAGTTGGATACTAGCCCCAAACCCCAACATAAGAAATATGACAAATTATGAAATTAGAACAATAAATATAAATAATACAATTTCTTGAGCTCTGTTCATCATCTCATCAATTTCACAACCTTCACAACTATATCAATAATAGAAATATAACAATAAATATAAATGATATTAAATTTTTATTTTAAATATGTTTTTATTGATTTCAGAGAGGAAGGGAGAGGGAATAAGAGATAGAAACATCAATGATGAGAGAGAATCATTGATCTGCTGCCTCCTGCACACACCCCCACTAGGGGATCGGGCCCGAAACCCGGGCATGTACCCTGACCGGGAATAGAACCGTGACCTCCTGGTTCATAGATCGACACTCAATCACTGAGCCACGCTGGCTGGGCAATGATATAAACTCTTGAGCTCTTCCATTGACTCTCCACTCATAACCACCTTTGAGGAGGTGCCATTATTATTAACACTGCAAAAACAACATCAACTGGGTCTCAGAGAGTGGAAGTGGTATCGTACATGCCTCAAGCACTGTCTACACAGGGGTGGTAGAAGAGGGAGTTCAACTGGATAGCTGTCTCTACAGTTTTCTGACTCCCTGTTCCTTGCAAATGCTCTGGAACCCAGTTTCTCTAGGTTCCACATTCCAAAAAGACCCTGAAGCTTCGACATCTCTGGGCCTGTTGGCGAGAGTATAACCTTCACTGTTCTGGAGTCAGGTGGAATGCTCTGCACACCCTGGCCCCCAGCCAACTCAGTGACATCTGCTCTCATTAATGCTAAGTTATGCCAGGCTCCACCCTCTTGACCTCCAGAGGCCAGGAGCCATTTGTGCAGACCAGGGTGGATGCACTTAGGTCCAGGATGGATGGCAGGACCATGACCCCATCTTCTGCCTGGTTTCCTGTGGGGCCTGGGAGCCAAGGGTTGCCTGTGGGGAGGCTGACCTCTGACTCAGCCCCTCCTTCTCCCCTCCAGACGTCGACGACTGTGTCTCCAGTCCCTGTGAGAATGGAGGTACCTGCATCGATGAGGTCAACACCTTCATCTGCCTTTGCCTCCCCAGCTATGGGGGCAGCCTCTGTGAGAAAGGTGAGTCTCTGCTGAGACCCCAGAAACAGGAGGGGAAGGGAGTGCCGGGCCACAGGCCTCCAGCTCTGGTTCCATGACTGTGAGTCCAATAGGCAAACTGTTGGAGGCAAACTGTTTTGTTTTGTTTTTAGATAACATTCACGTAACATAGAATTAACCTTTTTAGAGTGAACACTTCAAAAGGAATTCAGTACATTTGCAATGTTTTATAGCCACCACCTCTAGCAAGTTCCAAGATATTTCCCTCAGTTTAAAAGGAGACCCTGCCCCATTACTAGTCACTCTTCACTCCCCATCTACCCAACCTTGGCAACCACTAATCTGTTTTCTGTCTTTGTGGATTTGCCTGTTCTGGACATTTAATCTGTTTTCTGTCTTTGTGGATTTGCCTGTTCTGGAATCACACATTATGTGTCCTTTTGTGTCTGGCTTCTTCTCCTCAGTATCATATTTTTGAGGTTAACCCACATGTAGCATATGTCAGTGCTAAATTCTTTTTTTGTGGATGAATAATATTCATGGTATGGATAGACCGTTTTGCTTATCAATTCATCAATTGATGGTAATTTGGGTTGCATTCCCCTTGAGGATAATATAAATAGTACTGCTATGAACATTCATGTACAGGTTTTTGTTTGAATATGTTTTCTTTTTAAAAATATTTTTATTGATATGAGAGAGAGGGGGATAGGGGAGAGAGAGAGAAACATCAATTGGCTGCCTCCTGCATGCCCCCTACTAAAGATCAAGCCTGCAACCCACAACCTGGGCATGTGCCCTGACCAGAATCAAACCGGCAACCTTTTGGTGCATGGGGCAACGCCCAGCCAACTGAGCCACCCAGCCAGGGCAGAACACCTGTTTTCTATTCTTCCACCCCCCATTCTTTTTGGTTTATACCTAGAAGTGGAATGACTGGGTCACATGGTAATTCTACGTTTAACTGTTTGAGGAACCATGAGACTGTTTTCAACAGTGGCTGCCAACTTTACATTCCCACCAGCAGTGTACAGGGTTCCAACGTCTCCACATCCTCACCAGCTCTTGTTATTTTCCTATTTGAAAATTATACTAGTAGCCATCCTAGTGGGCGTGAAGTGGTATCTCATTGTGGTTTTGATTTGCGTTTCCTAATGACTAATGATCTTTCCATGTGCTTCTTGGTGATTTGTCTATCTTTTTGGGAGAAATGTCTATTTGAGCCCTTTGCCAGGAGGGAAATTTTAGGCCTTTCTGAGATCATTTCCCGAGTTCCCAGGTCCACACTGAGGGTGTGGTCCTGCAGTTCAGAGGAGACATCAGAGGTGGGAGGAGAGGGGATGGGTGTAAAGATCTTCCAGTTGAATCTCTTCCAGAAACAAAGAAAAGAAGTGAATATGGGAGGGGGAGCTGAAAGGGGGAGAGAGAGCCTCAGGGGGTGGGGATTGGCCCAGAGAAAGGGGTGACCTAGCCCCACAATGACCTTGGATAGGCCCTCTCTCCGGTAGACTGGCTGTGTTCATGCCAGCAGGGCAGACTTCTCAGGCCAAGGACATCGCCCCTCACACTCCCTTCCTACTTCCCAGACACGGAGGGCTGTGACCGCGGCTGGCACAAGTTCCAGGGCCACTGCTACCGGTACTTTGCCCATCGGCGGGCGTGGGAGGATGCCGAGAGGGACTGTCGCCGCCGAGCTGGCCACCTGACCAGCATCCACTCACCTGAGGAACACAACTTCATTAACAGTAGGGACTCTGGGGTGGTCAGGGTGGCCCTGCGGTCCTTTTTGCCAGGGAAGTCCCCAGGATCCTGAAGACACCACCTTTCTGAAACTGTGTTCATTAGTGCAAGCCATGGCCACTTAATAATTCCCATGTCTGTTTATTCATTTGTTAATTCATGCATTCACTGTATTCATTCGTTCATTCATCATGTATTTACCAAGCACTTGCTCTGGGACACAGCAGCAAGCAAGGTGCACATTGTCCCGTCCTCGGGGAATAACATTCTTGTGGGGGAGTAAATATCTAATTAACGACGTCTATACTATAATTTAGCTGGTCCTAAGTATGCTGATGACAAATTAAATGGCCAGGGGGTAGAGGGCGACGGGGAAGCATCTGTGATGTGTGGGATAAAATGAGCAAGGAGCTGTGCAGAGACCTAGGAAGAGTGTCTCATTAATTAAATCCGGCATTTATTGATTCATTCATTATCCTTTCTACCGTCTGTGCATCCATCCATGTATTCACATTTCCCCTATCCCATCCCCTAATTCTTTTTTCTTTTTTCTTTTTCTTTTTGCTTTTAAAAGACTTCATTGGGGAAACATACATGGGTGGGAACTGTCCTCAGAAATATCTCAGGACACTGTCCTCTATCTCGCTGGGCAGTTGCAGTTTCCAGAGGCCCCTGCTCACCAGCATCTGACCAGTCACAGCATCTGTGACTCCTGGAGGGGCCCAGCCCTGGGGGTGGCCACTACTCCCCCAACTCCCCCCCCCCCCCCATCTCCTAATTCTTTCATTTGTTCATTCCCTGGGTCACGCGTTTCTTCCTCCTCACATCAATCAAATATCCTCCTCTCCTTCCTCTGTCCTCAGTGACTACCTGGTTCACTGGGTCTCACCGCTGCCCTGTCTAGAGCCACCGTGGGCTTTCCTGTCTCTACTGTCATTTCTGCAAAGATACGACGGTCTTTGTTAATGCCTTACTCTGGCCATTTGTTTAAGCCACATATTTGTGGCAAAGCGAGTGCCAAATAACGGCCTTTTCTGGGCCCCACCCCCACCCCCAGGCTAGAGAGCAGCCAGAGCCCCAGGCTACTGGGAAATGGGGGGACCTGGCCTCCAGCCTGTGCCCAGGCTGAGGGAGAGTCTGGGTCCTCCCCGCCCCCCTCAGGCCTTTGGCTCCTGCCCCACCTCCATCCTTCCACCTCCATTCCCTTTCCCCTCCAGGCCACCTCCAGGCAAAGGAAGGGCTGGGTTCTCCCCTCCACCCCCAGCTGGCACCCTAGGCATTGGGGAGAGGCAGGCACCCAGTCCTGAAAACCCCCCAACCCCGCAGGCTTTGGGCGTGAAAACACGTGGATTGGCCTGAATGACAGGATCGTGGAGAGGGATTTCCAGTGGACGGACAACACAGGGCTGGTGAGTGGCGGGAGCCTGGGTCTCTGCTACCAGGCTGCTGACTGGGGGCCCACCTACAACAGCGGGATATGGGTGAGCCCCATGCCCTTTGCTCTGGCTTCACTTTACCCTCTTGTGCAAATGAGCCGTCAGAGGTCTGAAGTGGCAAGTGAGCTTTAGTGAAGCCCCAAAGCACCGACTTCCCAGCCAGGTAGAGGGCCCATCTACCTGGTGACTGAAGCTGGGAACCCATGACTAGGGACAACTCCTGTGCTCATATCGCCTGGTCCTCCTCCAGCCATAGGCTCTGAGAAGCTCCCATTTCCCTACATGCCCCTGCCTGCTCGGTCTCCACTGGGACCCCTGCAGCAGCCCCCCACCCCACACACACACACTTGCTACCTACACTCCTGCCCCTCTACCTGGTGACCAGGGGGACTTTTAAAAAATTGAGGTAAAATTCACATAATAAAATTAATCATTTTCAAGTGTATAATTCAGTGGCATTTAGTATATTCACAACATTGTGCAACCACCATCTCTATCTGGTTCCAGAATATTTTCAACACCCTGAGGGAAACCTTGACCATGGGACCTTTTAAAAACTATACATCAGCCCTGGCTGGTTTGGCTCAGTGGATAGAGTGTTGGCCTGCGGACTGAAGGGTCCTAGGTTCAATTCCAGTCGAGGGCACATGCCCGGGTTATGGGCTCAATCCCCAGTGGGGACCATGCAGGAGGCAGCAGATCAATGATTCTTTCATCATTGATGTTTCTATCTCTCTCTCCCTCTCCCTTCCTCTCTGAAATCAATAAAAATATATTTAAAAATAAAATAAAATAAAAACCATACATCAAATCAAGATTCTCCCTGCTTCAAGCCCTGTCATAGTCCCCAATGTTCTCAAGATTAAGACCACCTCCTCATGCTATGCGAAACAGTCTGGCAGTTCCTCAAAAAGTTAAACATAGAATTCACACACGACCCAGCAATTCCACTCCTAGGTATGTGCCCAAAAGAAGTGAAAGCAGGGACTCAGATACCAGTACACACATGTTCACAGCGACACTAGTCATAATTGCCAAAAGGAGCAACCCAAATGTCCATCATCAGATGAATACATACACAAAATGTGGTCCAAGCAAACAAATACAATGAAAAAAGGAGTGACGCACTGACACACACTATAATGTGGGTAAAATTTGAAAACATGATGCTCAGTGAAAGAAGCCAGACGTGGCCAGGTAGCTCAGTTGATTAGAGTGTCGTTCCGATACACCAAGATTTCAGGTTCAATCCCCAGTCAGGGCACATACAAGAATCAACCAATGAATACACAGATAAGTGGAACAAAAATCAATGTTTCTCTCTCTCTCTGTTTCTCTTTCTCTCTCAAAATGAATGAGAGAAAAAAAAAAAGGGTGACCTAAGAAAGAAGCCAGACCTAAAAGGACACATATTGTATGATTCCATTTATATGAAATATCCAGAACAGGCAAATACATATAGACAGGAAGTGGATTTTTGGATGCCAGGGGCTGGGGGAGGGGAGGTGGGGAGTTACTGCTAATGGGGACGAGTTTCTGTTTGGTGTGATGAAAAAGTTCTGGCAACAGACAGCGGTGATGGTTGTACAACTTTGTGGATCCTAATTAATGGCAATGAACTGAACACTTAAAAATTATTAAAATGAGTCCTGGCTGGTGTGTTCAGTGGTTAGAGCGTCCGTCTGCACACCTAAGGGTCAAGGGCACATACCTGGGTTACACGTTCAATTCCTGGCAACCAATGGATGTGTCTCTCTCACATCCAAGTTTCTTTCTTTCTCTCTCCTCCCCTCGCTGCTCCCTTCCATTCTGTCTAAAAATCAATGGAAAAATATCCTTGAGCCTGGCCATTGTTGCTCAGTGGTTGACATTGGCCCATGAACCAGGAGGTCACAGTTCGATTCCCGGTCAGGGCACATGCCCGGGTTGCCAGCTCAATCCCCAGTAGGGGGCGTGCAGGAGACAGCCGATCAATGATTCTCTCTCATCATTGATATTTTTCTCTCTCTTTCTCCCTTCCTCGCTCTGAAATCAATAAAAACATACAAAAAAAATCCTCAAGTGAGGATTAACAAAAAAAAAGTATTAAAATGGTAAATTTTGTTATGTGTATTTTACCATAATTGAAAAAGAATCCACCTCTTCTCCTCTACCCCAAGAACTGGCCCTGCCCACCCTCTGACCACACCCAAACTCCATCAAGTACCTTCGGCCCCACTGGCCTCTAGTCCATTCCTCAAACAGGACAAGTTTAGTCCTGCCTCTGGGCCTTGTTCTCTGCCTGCATCATTCTTTTCCCTGAGTCTTCAGCTCTCCTGTTGCCTCCTCAGGGAAGCCATCATGGACTTCCAGGCTGAGGTCACCTTTTGTTCAACCGTTTATCTAACAGTGAGTGACCCATATTGGAACAGACTATCAGGGAGCAAGACAGGAGGCAGGGGCATGAGGGAAGACGGCACAGCAGCCTCCCAGCCAGAGGAGGGGTGACTCAGGTCGCACTGGCGTCACCCGCAGGGCAGGCAGAACAGTGCCCATTCTAGAGATGGAAAGACTGAGTCCCTAAGGGTTTGAGTGGTCTGCCCAAGGAGCCCCACAGTGGACAGTGCCAGAGTCTGAGGCAAGATGCTGGTTCCCTGAGCACCCCTTCCTGCCCCACATTTCTGCAGCAATATGAGAACTGGAGAGAGAACCAGCCAGACAATTTCTTCGCGGGCGGGGAGGATTGTGTGGTGATGGTGGCACATGAAAGTGGGCGCTGGAACGACGTCCCCTGCAACTACAACCTCCCCTATGTCTGTAAGAAGGGCACAGGTACGCTGCCCCCCTGCCCCCTTGCCCTCCTGTGGCTCACATTCACGCGTTCATGAGTTTTTCAAGTGTGTAAATGTAAGTCAGCCCCACCCACTTTTCACTCTCCAGCACTGTGTGAGAGGGCCCACTTTTCCCATCCTTGACAACTTGATGCATTCCCAAACTTTCTATTTTTTGTTCATCTAAGTCAGTGGTTCTCAACCTTCCTAACGCCGCGACCCTTTAATACAGTTCCTCATGTTGTGGTGACCCCCAATTTCATTGTTACAAATTGAACATAATTAAAGCATAGTGATTAATCACAAAACAATATGTAATTATATATGTGTTTTCCGATGGTCTTAGGCGACCCCTGTGAAAGGGTCATTCGACCCCCAAAGGGGTCGCGACCCACAGGTTGAGAACCGCTGATAAGTGATGAAAAAAATAGTATCTCAATGTTATTGTAGTTCGCACATCTTCAAGGTTGAGAATGACTAGCTATTCATATGTTGATAGGCTATTTATCTGTATTTATTTTCCTGTGACCTGCCAGGTCATCTCCTTTGCCTAATTTTCTATTGTTGGTCTTACTGATTTGCAAGCGTTCTTTACATATTAAGGAAACATTTACATCAGTGGTTCCCAAACTTATTTGGCCTACCGCCCCCTTTCCAGAAAAAATATTACTCAGCCCCTGGAAATTAATTTTTTTTAAATTTTAATAGCAGTTACTCATCGCCCCCAAATGCACCTGTGGCCATCACCGCCACCCCCCCCCCATCGCTGCAGCGCCCACCGGGGGGCTGTAGCGCCCACTTTGGGAATCACTGATTTACATGCATTCTTGTGACCACCTTTCTCTTATATTTTTGTTCATTCTTGCTTCCATTTCTTTGCCAATTATCATATCCTTACTTCCTTACATTTGCTCAAATTATTCTTACCTCCCATCTCCTTCATCCCTGTCATGCATAAGAATTAGGGGGTGGGATGTGTCCAGGAGGTTCCTGCCTGGAAGGGGCTCCAGGTCTGGGTGGAAGAGACAGACACAATCACTTCTCGCCCTGGGAGGTCACAGCTGGGCAAAGGGCAGGACCTGCATAGGTGTGTCATTCCTAACAAGAGAGGAAACCATTCATCCCGTTATGGCCACTCTCCTAACTGGAGGTTCCTCCGTCCCCAGTGCTGTGTGGTCCCCCTCCGGCAGTGGAGAACGCTTCGCCCATCGGGGCCCGCAAGGCCAAGTATAACGTCCATGCCACTGTGCGCTACCGGTGCGACGAAGGATTTACCCAGCACCACGTGTCCACAATCCGGTGCCAGAGTAATGGCAAGTGGGACTGGCCCCAAATCGTCTGCACCAAACGTAGGTGGCTGCCCCCCCCCACACACCCAACACGTTTCCAGTTGTCTGTAGTCTCCAATGGAAACATCTGATGACTATATGCATTGATTTGAGTAAATGTCTGCCTGATAACACAGCCTTGCAGATAAAGATCAGCTTGCCTGGTGTCTCCTCCATCCCACCCCCCCCCCACCCCCCCCGCAGGAGGCCCGCTGCATCAGGCCACTGCTTCTCACCACCTTTCACTACTTCCCTGTCTTCCTTCATTTCCCTGCAGCCAGGAGGTCCCATCGGATGCGGCGACACCATCACCACCACCAACATCACCATCAACGCCACCACCACAAATCACACAAGGAACGCAGAAAACACAAGAAACACCCGGCGGAGGACTGGGAGAAGGAGGAAGGGAATTTCTGCTGAAGAACCAGGCAAACGACAGCACAACCCCCTTCTCACACCTCCTCTGGGGCCTTCGCCTGGGAAGATAGAGCCTAGAGAGAAACGAGAGGGCCCGGAAGCCCCTGAGCCCCAAGCCCCCTCCCCAACCTTTTGTAAAAAGCTCCTCCCTCCTCTTTCTTACATATACAGGTCCTCCTGGCAGGCGTGGCCATGCGTCTGAAAACCCAGTTCTAGTCAGGCTGGACTCTGGGAGAATCTCAGTGGAAGGAAGCACAATTGGCAAAGATCACCTTTGCTGCACTGGCTGAGTCTTTTGTTGGCAAGGCTAATCGGCAGTTGTTGAGATAAGGCTTTGATGAGGGTGCGAGGGTGTATGTTTGGATCTGCACCAAGGAATTGCTTTTCACGCCAGATCCAGGCTTTGTAAATTGTCGGATGTCCTAAATGCAGCCTGAAGCCTTTAGTGACTGCTTTGGGAGTCAAAAACTACATGGAAGCACACTGCTTGAACTTGACAACTGCCCTTCCATTACTTTGGACTTGAACCCAAGTTCAGTCTTTGGTCTTGGTGGGTAAACAGTCTTGAACTCCTATGTACTGAATGTTGGGAATGATTTTAGAACAGCTTCCTTCCATACCCTCAGAGTTAGGGGTCAGAATAGTCAGGGCAATATGTGGGCAATGAGGGGAAGGTATTGCTTATCCTCCCAGGTCTTGTCCCAGAGCTGAGATTTGGTGGTTCTGCATGTGTGGTCACACACACACACACACACACACATACACACACACACACGAGGATATTTAGGGCTTGACAAGCCCAGATTTCTTCCCCCTCCATCTCTCAGGGAGACGAAGAACCTCCTTCCTGGACCAAGGAGGTGCCAAGTTTTCTAGATCAGAGCCCGTACCCATCCCTCAAGCAGACATTGCTAATGCACTGCCCTGGGTCCCACTCCTATCGCCACCCCATCCCTGTCTCCAGTCATTGCCTGGAAGACTAGAAATGCTTACAGATTGAAGTAGTGACATCTACCTGCAGTCATGTTGTAGAGAAATGCAGTGTTAAAACTGAAACACACACATTTTTCTCTCATAGTTTTTTTTTTATAATACTTTTATTGATTTCAGAGAGGAAGGGAGGAGAGAGAGATAGAAACATCAACGATGAGAAGAGAATCATTAATTGGCTGCCTTCTGCATGCCCCCTACTGGGAATTGAGCTGCAACCGGGCATGTGCCCTTGACCAGGATCGAACCCGGGACCCTTCAGTCCGTAGGCCGATGCTCTATCCACTGAGCCAAACTGGGTACGGCCATAGTTTTTTTTTTGTGTGTATTTTTTAAGCTTTTTTAAGTGGGAAAGAACGCAGCTGGCCTTCCTCCCCCAAATCTGCAACCTATGAAAGGACTTTCCAAGCTGAAGGCCGAGACCAGCTCCCTGATCTCTAGGAGGAAAGATCCACAGCTTTTCCTCCATGTTTTGTCTACTATAAGCCCCTTCAGTCTGGTAAAAATCTGTGGATTAGTATTAAAAACCACAGTGGAGACTGATTCTCCAGGAAAGAAAAATAAGCAAATATATGGTCCATCTAAGGGTTCAGTAGAGAAAGGAATGTGTTGACTGAGTCTATATCCCTCCTGGGAAGTAATAATTATAGTTGACAACTTTGGAGTAGGTACCATGCTAATAACTTACTATTTCCTAGAATCTTCTGAATAGCCCATTGACGTAGGAACCATCAGGCTCAGATAAGAGGAAGGCACTGGCTTCAAGTCACAGTCAAGACAGAAGTAAGGATTTGGCTCTGCCTCTGTCTGACTCCAAACACTGCTCTCTGCATTGAGGAAGGAATTGAGACATAATTGTGCTCCCTCTCACACACACAGGCAGATTTAGAAAAAGATTGAGAAGCGCAAACTAGGCCCTCATCCTTGACCATGGTCTTCAGTCTTCCCTGCTATAGACATTATCCACTGCCCCACCATATGGTTATCACTGAGAAAGCCCAGGGATATCGGTTTGCCTTCTTGCTTTGATAATTCTTGATTTTAAAAAATAGAATAATAATTAACACATCTTCAGTCATCCATGTCACAAAAGAATTTTCCTTTGTTGGGGGCCTGGAGATGCAACCCTTTGGGGAGTGTCTTCGTTTATGCTCCCTGCCTTGGCCCCCTCAGCCCCTTGCCCTGCCCCCACCCCAGCTCCATGGTGGGAGGGGACTATGGTATTTTCTAAAGTGGGTGGTTTGTCTTTTGGTCTTTCCCTTTGGGGTTTGTGTGGGCCACATGTGTGGCATGTATGTGTGCGTGTGAACAGCTTTGGGTTCCACTGGTTTTGCTGTGAGCTGCAGTGTTCTGTGGGTCTGTGGTATCTGACACTGTGGACATTAATGTACTTCTTGGACATTTTAATAAAAATTTTTAACAGTTCAACATGCCTGTTGCCTCCTGACACTTTTCTTCATTCATTCACTCAGCAGGTACTTACTGAGAAGCTGTTACGAGCTGTGTACTGTGCTTGGGAGGTGGTCAGGGAAGGATTCCTAGAGGAGGCAGATGGGATCTAAAGAAGTTGGATCAATTAGATGATGAGGGGAAGAAAGGAAAGGAGTTTCAGGCAGAGGGAAGAGCAAAGGCAAAAATCCTCTTGCAAAAGGGAACCTGGTCATTTGAGAAACAGCAAGGAGACCATAGTGACTGGAGCAGAGTGAGTGATAGAGGTAGAGAGTGGAGGGAGATGAGGACAGAGAGGCAAAGGATGGACTATCCAGGGCTCTATGGACTGTAGTGAGGAGTTGGGGCTTTATTCTAAAAGCTGTAGTGGCAACAAATACCATAAGCAAGGTCAAAAAGCAAATGCCAAACTTAGAGACAATTTTCAAACAGAGGTAAAGGACTTCTTGCCTTAATATATAAAGAGCTCCCACCAATCAATAGGAAAAAGAAAACCTAATAATCCAATAGCTGAATGTGCAACGGTTATGAACAAAACATTCACAGAAAAGGAAATACAGATGGCTCTTAAGCTACAATATGTCCTAAACAAAATAACACACTTTTTGCATGAACACCAAGATAAACAAGGAAGAGCATATTTTTTTAAAAAAAAAATGGAATAAAATCTACCAAGAGAAGAAGCTTTGCATAGATCAATAATGACCATATACTTAAGTTGACAATGGTTTATGATTCACTCAACCATCTGCAAGGTCAAAGTGGAGGATGTTCCGCTTCACACATAAGAGAATTGCAAGGGACAACCACAGTGAGATTCCATTTTCACTTATCATGTTGGCTAAGGTAAACAGTGATAACACGATGCTGGTGAGAATGTGTGGAAACAGCAAGTATGTCTGATGGAATATAAACTGGCCTTACCTCTAAGAAGGGGTGGAGATCACTATCAAAATGGCAAGTTTTGATCCTTTGATCGATCAACTGATAGCATCCTCCTGTTGTACTTGTGTGAGATGACGTGGGTGCTTATGACTCACAGCAAAATATGGGAAACTATGTGTCCACCATTAGGAGACTGGTGCATCCGAACAACGCAAACTCTGCCGACCTTCAAAAAATGTTTTGGGGGAATCTTTACATGTTGATGGAAACTATCCCAAAAATACATTATTAAGTAAAATAAGAGTTACTTTTAAACTATGTATGGCACACAAATGTTCATAATAGTGTTATCCAGTCATCAAAATGTCCACCAACTGATAAATGAATTTTAAAAATGTGGTATACACATACCATGGAATATTATGCAGCCATAAAATGAATGAGGCACTGACACAAGCTACAACTAGATGAACCTCAGAAACATTATGCTGAGTGAAAGAAGCCAGACACAAAAGGACATATATTGTACGATTCCATTTATATGAAATATCAAGAATAGGCAAACCCATAGATGCAGAAGGTAGATTAGCATTTGCCGGGGGCAGTGGGGGGAGGAAAGAATGGGGAGCACTTGCTTAAAGGGGGGGTTTCTTTTGGGGTGATGAAACTGTCTTGGAACTAGATGGTTGTACAACATTATAAATATGCAAAATGCCACTGAATGGAGCACTTTAAGACATTTACAATGGTGAATTTTATGTTATATAAATTTTACAATATAAGAAAGTATATGCTGCCACCAATTGTGTAAAAGTGGGGAAAAGAAACATATATGTATGTTTGCTTGACTGAACATAAAATATCTCTGGAGGGACAGGTAAGAAACTTTGGGAAGTAAACTGGGCAGTAGAGGATTGGGGGGGGGGGAGAAAGAGAGAGAGAGAGAGAGAGAGAGACTACCTGAATACCTGGCTTCTGGGAGGGTTCCATCCAAGTTGCCATCCCTTAGCTGTCCTCCCAATGGACCCTGGAGACATCCACTCCAACAGCAGTGACCCCAGCAGAAGGGAGGTTCCCTCCGCCCAATCATCCAGCAAAAATCCCAGGGACTACTTCTCATTGGTCTGCATGGGCCCGCGTCCATCCCTGGACCAATCAGGGCTGCCCAGGGAGATGGGCCACATCACTCACTGGCCGAGCTGCAAGGCGGTGGAGTCAGCTCCTCCATATCTTATGAGTGGAGGTAGTTACATACTCACTGGAAACCAAGGAGCTGGAACAGTGGAAGGGAGAAAGTCTGCCAGCAGGGTAAAGGCAGGATGAAAGAAATCCCATGCAGGAATCTGTTTACATGCCCCCCACCCCAGTCCCCTGTTTGAGGATGCTAAGGTCCAAGGTAATCTAACCAAGGAGCTGGACCCTGCATCAGAGGAACAGTTTGCGTATGGAAGCTTGGTCAAGTCTGGTATAAAAGGATGAACAGTTATATCGACCATCTCACTTCTACAACCAAATCACATTTTTTCTCTCCTCCTTTTGTTTAGAAACTTCCAATGCTCCTCAGCCCACACTCTCCCCATCCAGCCCTACCTACACTCCAGGAAAATTGCAGCCTCTCTGCCTTCCTGAAGCGGGCAGTCCCCATCCAGTTTCACACACTGGATATTGAGAGGAACCACTGGGTTTGTCAGTGACCCAATCAGGACAGGACTGAGAAGTGCCAGACCTACAGGGGGAAGCTCAAAGAAAAGGGGGCGGGGAGAATGGGTGAAAGAAGAGGAGGTTGAGGAGTGGGATGTGGTCCTGAGGAATGAGGACCTTCTGACTGAATTATCACCAAGTACCTCCCGCTGGGAAACATTTTGAAGTAATTATTCACTAGCTGCCTCTTTTTCTCATTATATACATCCCCTTCTGTATGCTTTGCACTCACTGGGACCTCAGAACAGCCCTGATACAGAGATGGAAATAGGCTCAGGGGTTTTGTCACTTGGTCACAGGTAGGATTAGAACCCAAGCCAATCTGGTTCCCAACCCACAGATGGGTTTCCTCAAGATGGATGGGACAGTAAAGGGGGCTCCAGGAGGTCCCCAGTGCTACTCCAGGCAAGACCATGGCATTGGGATTTCCCATGGCTGGGTGGCTCTCTACACTGGGGAGTTTGGCTGGGTTCTGACTTCTTTAAGAATCTCCTCTTAAGCCCTGGCCAGGTAGTTCAGTGGGTTACAGCATTGATACACCAAGGTTGCAGGTTTGATCCCCGGTCAGGGCACAAACAAGAATCAATCAATGAATGCACAAATAAGTGGAATAAATCAATCTCTCTCTCTCTCTCTCTCTCTCAAATCAATAAATTAAAAAAAATAATCTCCCCTTAAAACCTGGAGCTCAGAGTGGATTTTGAGGTTTAAGAACCTATCTCTCCTGGATCTCCTAGGAGGAAAATAGGGGTTGGGGGTTAGGGAAGGAAAGAAGAGCTCAGTGAGAATGGGGATGGGGTCTGAGAGAGGAAACGGGGAGCCCAGTGCTTGCACAGCTCAAAGGGCCAAGGCATGCCAGTGCCTTGGTTTGCTCATCTGTACAGAGGCAATGAAAACACCCGGGTATCCCAAGGGCATGTCGTGCACAGCTGCTGTCTGGGATATCATTCGCGTGCAATTGGGGGGTTTCCAGCAGCCCTGTAAGTCCAGCCCTGTCTGGGGATGCTGCCTGGGGCTGAGCCCACCTGGTGAAGGGGCAGCCATTAAGCCCTATAGGGTACAGTTCCTGCCCATGGTAAGTTCCTGAGAGCTGGGGGGTTAGTTGTCATGGGAATGACATTAACAGTCTCTATGGTAACAACTTGGTGGGCAGGGCCCTACCAACAAGGAAAAGCCTAGGGAGACAGGTGTTCTGTTACCTCAGACTCCAGTTTGGTCTCCATGGCAACAGCTGTTTAACTTGGAGGGTGGCAAGGAGCTGGGGTGGGCCTGGGGAAAGGGCAGCACGTTTCCATGGTGAAAGCTGGAGAACTGAATGTTGGTTAACTCTCTGGACAGTGGAGGGAAGGGTGGTCTCCATGGCTGTTGGTCAGGGTGGGGACAATTAAAGTGGAGTTGTAGGTCTCCAGAATGGGGGCTGGTGAGATGGGGAAAGTATGGTATCCATGGTTACAGCTAGAGGATGGAGGCACTATCTCCATGGGTGTGACTGACGAGGGAAGGGTTGTGTGACTGGCAAGAAGGGCTGGTCACCTTAGAGACAATGGGAAGCTAGAGGATGGAGGCACTATCTCCATGGGTGTGACTGATGAGGGAAGGGTTGTGTGACTGGCAAGAAGAAGGGCTGGTCACCTTAGAGACAATGGGAAAGGGCGTGGCTTGCCTCCACAGCATGGATCTTACAGGCCCCAGTGTCCCGGGAATGATGCTTTGGTGACAGCCAGGAGAAAGGAGGTCAGGTGGGGGTGGACTTGCCCTTCCAGAGAGGTACCTGAGGGTGGGGCAGCCAGTCATGCGAGCCAGCTGGGGCATTTCAATCTGTCTTAGCAGTAACAAAAGGTGGTCTCTCCTAAAACGGGAGAGATGAGGCGGCGGGGTCGCGTGCGCCTCTGGTCCACGGTGACCTGGGGACTTGGTCTCTTACTACAGAAATTTCAGGGGACTTGAGGGGGAGGGGTCAATGATAGAAGTACCCAATCAACAGGTCACCGTAGGGGAGAAGACAGGAGCCCACATGTGACCAGTCAGGAGGGGTCAATGATAGAAGTACCCAATCAACAGGTCACCGTAGGGGAGAAGACAGGAGCCCACATGTGACTATGGGGGCGTGGTCACCTGTCAAATTTGCTGTTTCTAGTTTCTCTACAGGTGATAGGAGGATGGTTCAGTTGCCAGGTGACCGTTAAGTCTTCAGTCTCCAGGGAGATGCAGAGGGCGTGGGTCCAGCCTCCAGGTGACCACTGAGATGGTTCTGTGTCCAGGTGGCCTTGGGAGGGGTAGTCTTCAGGAGACCTTGGGGTCTGTTGGCCTCCAGGGGGCATCAGGGAGTGTGCCTGGTCTGCTGGAGAAAGTCAGGGGAAGAGGAGAAATCCACTGTCCAAGAAGGGGGAGCTTGGTCAGTGTCCAGGGACTCCAGGAGACTTGTCTCTGGGGGTGTGGTCAGTGTTCAAGGACCACAGTAGCTTGGTCAGCCAGTAGGGCACCACAGGGGGCGTGGTCCGTGTCCAGGGGACAACAGAGGACTTGGCCAGCCCCCAAGGACCCCTCCCCCAGCCCTCCGTGCCCTCCGTG